CAACCTGCCAAATTTGGGTGCTGCCTATAAAATGTGTATCCCAGGTTCAACTTATTGTTTACAGTGGGGTTTTTAACAGATAAGCTTCACCAAGTTTTGCCCCATGACCCTGAGCCATCTCGTTTCTCACTCTCTCTGGCATTTAGAATTGAAGATCAGAGCATTCTAGTTCTTCATCATGTTACGAACTCCAAGATTCAATTGGATACTGCTATGGCAATTTAAATGGTGCAATACTGCTATACCTGGGTAATGTGTGAAGGAGAAAGGGTAGGTAAAATTTGTGAGGGTGGAACTAGTGGGTCATCTTGTGCAGGAAAGCTATAGCTTGGAGGATCACTATAATAAGGAGAAAACTGAAGCACAAAAGGCAGGTTTACAAATCTCAGTATCACAGCAATGGTATAAATCAGAACGAAGGTGAAGCAAGCCGCTCGAGAGGAAAGGCCCATCGAGAGGAGTGACACAGGGTGAAGGAAGTGAAGAAGGAAGTGAAGAGGGGCATAGTGTAGAAAGATGCAAGAGTGACGCAAAATGAGAAAAGGAAATGGCCTGTATGGAGCAATAGCAGCACAGTGAGGCAGGCTGGAGGCAAGTCCATCAGTGTGAGAATATGAACAATTTGCCAGTCTTTAAGCTCCACCATGAGTATCCCTTATCCAAAATGCTTGGGACCAGAAGTGTTTTGGATTTCAATTTTCCCCCAGATTTTGGAATAGCTCTATTTGCACACATGTACACAATGAGATATCTTTGAGATAGGACCCAAGTCTAAACACAAAATCCATTTAGAAATGCAGTTTAAATGTGGATCTCCTATAGAAATATGTATATTTGTTAATTTTTTGCAATGTTCATGTTTTTAATTGTGTTGTAACCCCCCTTGAGCCACAGGGAGAGGTGGGTAAGATATAAAATTATTATTATTATTATTATTATTATTATTATTATTATTATTTGATACATAACAAGATTAGTACACAGCAACCAAAATCACTATGCTGATTTTTATATTTGATCACATGTTGGACACTTCCCAAGTGTCTAGGACTGTGTGATGTATCGGCGAATAATGCATGCACATCCAAGTAGGGTGGCCTTTTGCAGCTGACAGACAGTAATTTTGTCAGCACCAATTGTTTTTAAGTTCAGGCCGAGTTCTTTAGGCACTGCACCCAGTGTGCCGATCACCACTGGGACCACTTTTATTGGCTTGTGCCAGAGTCTTTGCAGTTCTATCTTTAAAACCTCATATCATGTAAACTTTTATTATTGTTGTTTCTATTGTTTTTTTGTTGTTATTGATGTTTACTATTGTTTTTTATTTTGTTATTGTTGTTGCTATTGTTGTTGTTTTTTTGTTGTTATTGATGTTTCATAGAGATATACACATGCCCGGGTGTAATTTTATAGAATATTTTAATCAATTTGTTTTTGCACGAAACCAAGATTGTAGACACTGAAGCACCAGAAAGCAAAGGTGTCATTATCTCAAAATTATGTGGATAATTTTGGAGAATTTTGAAATTTGGCATTCCAAATAAAAGGATGCTCAAGATGTAGTTACTTTGACCTGTCTGATGGTAAGACCACCCCTGGAAGAAGCCTTTCAACTTTTGACTGATAAGATTTTTTAGGGGAAACAGAACTGGAAGGAGTGGGACTGAACATGGAAACTTCAGGCAACACTGTGAAAGTATAAAGACTGGAAGCAGATTTGTTGTAAGATTGGTTCACCCATGCAGAATACAAACAATAATCCCACTTTGATTTGAAACTCTCATCCTGGTGAAGGGATATCACAAGATACCTCTATATAGAATTGTCCTTTGTTTCACCTTAGTTCTTCCAGACAGTCCTGCTATTTACCAAGGGATGTGGATTGTTAAAGAATTAAATTGCTGCAGAAATTGGATTCTGTCACCCAGAGTATGCCCAGAAAACTGGCTATATCTTTTCCCCTTAGGTTCTCCAAAGCCAGGGAACTAAAAGAGGACTTTTCCGAAAGGGCTTCTGTCTCGAATTCTCAGCTCCCTGACAACGAATGGAAAACAAAACACAACAGAACAACACAGCCAGGGGCAACATTCTTGCCTCCACGGGTGCGGACAAGTCAAGCTGACAACCCAGCCGAGGTTCCCCACCCACCCACAGCCCAGCACAAGCAGCCTTTGAGGATATACCCAGGGCTTTCCCAGGAGGTGTGGCTTAGGAAACACAGCAAAGTGGTGTGTTGGTGATCCTGAGGTTTTGTTTGTAACAGGAGAGGTATGGGGCTGGCTCTCACTTTGGGCCTCTGCCATGCCTTCAGTGGGGACAGTTTCTAATTTAGACACATTGCCTTATTTGGGATACGAGTCAGTCCTTCCTTAGAAACTGGCAATTTGGGAGAAAGCACTCGAGTCACTGTTTGGGGCAGAGAAGTGTTCATACTGCAGCTGATGCACAGAGCTTGAGGACAGCCCTCTCCTGCCTGTGATTCACATTCATGGACTTAAGGAAACCACATCTTCTCTGCAGGTTTATAAGAGGGGAATTCAGCTGAAATATTCATCCATAGTCTGGAAAACCAAAGAGGGGACTGTGAATTTCTAAAGACCCCCCTCATCTCTTAAAAAAAAATTACTCCTTTTTACAATGGCTTGCCAGTATGTATCTCTTTGGGTATCTTCTTGGCTTTCTATTGGGATCCATTTTTCCTATGAAATGAATGGATCCTTTCACCCAGAGGAACACACACATACCTTGCATCCCAAAAATAATATTGCTCCACATTGCAAAGTTTATCTCAAAGACCCTGCTTATCTCACTCCAGAGCTTTTCATGCTAAAGACCTTTGCTTAGCAGTAGAGCACATGCTTTGAATGGAAATGGTCATAGATTCAAATTCAAGCTTCTCTGAGTGTCTTGGAAAATAACACCTCTGGGACACTGCTGCCAATCATTTAATTACTGATCTAGATGGACCAATTTTTTAATATATATATATATATGATATTGATTCCTTCCCAGGGCTAAAAGAAAATCCCCCGCGGAAATGCTGCTAGTCTATATCAATGATAACAAGGTAGATAGACCAATGTTTTGAAATTAGTACAAGGACATAAAGTAACTTTTTCATGTTGTACATGTGACAAACATTTAGCCTTCCCAGCTTCTGCCAACCTAGCCATTCGAGAACATGCAAATGTGAGTTGATCAATAGGTACCGCTTCTGCAGGAAAGTAATGGTGCTCCATACAGTCATGCTGGCCACATGACCTTGGAGGCATCTACGGACAACGCTGGCTTAGAAATGGAGATGAGCACCATCCCTCAGTGTCAGACATAACTAGACTTAATGTCAAGGGGAAATCTTTACCTTTACTATGCAATGAAGTATCGTTGAGATGGGATCCCGATCTAAATACAAAATCTAAAAATGTACACATTCTTAAATATATCTGTGCATGGCACAAAGTTTATGTACATCAGAGAACAACACTGTCACTTTCTCAGCCTTCTATGGGGACAATTTTGAACTTTGGAGAATTTTGAAATTCAGGATAAGAGATGCTCAACCTTGGAGTGGAGTGGGATCTCCATCTTTGGAGGCTTTTAAACAGAGACTAGCTGGCCATCTGTCAGGAGTGCTTTGTGTTTTTCTGCATGAGGTTGGACTGGGTGGCCCTTGGAGTCTATTCCAACTCTGATTCTGCAACCCGAAACGACAATGACAATGACGACGATAATGATAGAACAGGTATGGGCAAACTTGGACCCTCCAGGTATTTTGGATTTCAACTCCCACAATTCCTAACAGCCTCAGGCCTTTTCCTTTCCCCCCTCAGTGACTTAAGTGGCTGATGGGGGAAAGGAAGAGGCCTCAGGCTGTTAGGAATGGTGTGGGTTGAAGTCCAATACACCTGGAGGGCCCAAGTTTACCCATTCCTGTGATAGAACATGGTTAAAGTAGTGCCAGACGGCAATACATGGCATGTTTTGGACAAGGAACAAAACATCTACTTCTCTCAGCTCCAGCCAATCCCATTGGAACAATTGATGCCACCTTGTGCCCCAGGCCCCTCTTTCCCGGATTGCATTATATGGTCAGTGTAGACCTCTATAATGCAGTTCAAACTACATCACATGTGCCTACACTGTTCATATAAAGCAGTTCAAACTGCAATATATATCAGTGCACACCCAGAGTTAGAAACAGAAGAGAGATATTGACAAGCTGGAATGTGTCTGGAGGAGGGCGACTAAAATGATCAAGGGTCTGGAGAACAAGCCCTATGAGGAGCGGCTTAAGGAGCTGGGCATGTTTAGCCTGAAGAAAAGAAAGCTGAGAGGAGATATGATAGCCATGTATAAATATGTGAGAGGAAGCCACAGGGAGGAGGGAGCAAGCTTGTTTTCTGCTTCCCTGGAGGCTAGGATGCAAAACAATGGCTTCAAACTACAAGAAAGGAGATTCCATCTGAACATGAGGAAGAACTTCCTGACTGTGAGCCATTCAGCAGTGGAACTCTCTGCCCCGGAGTGTGGTGGGGGCTCCTTCTTTGGAAGCTTTTAAACAGAGGCTGGATGGCCATCTGTCGGGGGTGCTTTGAATGCAATTTTCCTGCTTCTTGGCAGGGGGTTGGACTGGATGGCCCATGAGGTCTCTTCCAATTCTATGATTCCAGGTTCAGACTGGGGAAGGAGATGGAACTATAAGGCTGAACCTGGGTGCATTTACACTGTAGAATGAATGCAGCCTGGCACCACTTCACAATGCTATGGCATAATTGGGAGTTGTAGTTTGACAAGCTCTTCAGCCTTGTCTGCCAAAGAGCGTTGGTGCTTCCCCAAGCTCCAAAACTCAGACTCCCTTCGCCTTGAGCCATGGCGGCAAAAGCGGTGTCAAACTGCCCCAATTCTTCAGTGTAGCGCCCACCCCGCCTGGCACCTGCCTCCTCCTCCCCCTCCTCCCCGCGCGCTCCGCCCTCCCCGCCCCCTCCCTCTTCCCCCTCCCGGAGAGAAGAATCAGCAGCAGGAGGAGGAGGAGGAGGCGAAGAAGAAGCAGCAGCATCAGGAAGGCGCTTGTGAGCGACGCCGGCGCTTTTGCCTCCTTGGAGCCTGTGCAAGGAGCCCAAGAAGCAACCCGCCGCCGGCAGCCATGGGGCGAGTGCAAGGAGGGGTGCGCTGCATCAAGTTCCTGCTCTTCGTTTTCAACTTCATCTTCTGGGTCAGTCTCTTTCAAGGGGCTGGAAGGGAGGGAGGGGGTGGGGGCCAAAGGAAAGAGGATGCTGGAGGGGAGCTCCTTGGGCGGAGGGGCAGCCTGGGAAACCGTGCCTTTGGGGCGCCCGACCATTCAGCCTTGGAGTCCCAGGGTGCAGCTACTCTCTGTTGGACACCACTCAAGGGGATGCAATCAATGGGGTTGGAGTCATCATTAGCCTTCTCTGCCAAGCAGTGCTGGTGCCTCACCAAACTCCAACTCCCCTGATCCCACCGCTTTGAGCCCTGGCGGTTTAAGTCCTGTCAAACTACATCATTTCTACAATATAGTTGCAACCCTCTGCCTGAGTGCTTTTGCCTCTCTTAAAGCTTGCAGACAAGGGATCAGCTATACTGCAAATCCCTTTGGGCTGTAAGTGGTGAAAATCCAAACAAGAGAGAGGAGGAAATAAAAGATGCTCACCTCACCTCCACTCTGCTGTGCTTCCCTCTGATCTGAAAGCGGGGGAGCCTAGAAGTCCCCTTGGTGCCTTAACAAATGATGAAGATGGGCAGGATATTGGGAAGGAAAGACAAAGCTTCCCCTTCATGTTGGAACTTTGTTTTGAGGCTGCCCACCTTTCTTGCCTTTCTTTCTGCTTGTCGTTCTGCACTGAGAGATGCCCTGTTGARAGATGCTCCTGTTAGGAGATGGAAGATAATGTAACTYATCCCTGATGTATTTAGTGTGCAAGGGAAGTCGTATCATTTAGTGTCATTTGTCTCATTTAGTGTGCTAWGMCATAGCTGGGAAACTGTGAAATCCTTCAGATATTCTTGGACTGAAGGTCCCATCAGACCAAGCCAACCTACCCAGTGGTTTACATGACATTTGGAGGCCATGGAGGGCCAAATACTGGTCACCCTTTCCCAACCTACTGTTCTCCAGGTGTTTGCTATTATAGTGGTCATCCTCCCTAGTGAGTACAGCTAAAGATCAAGAATAATGGAAATTATTATCTAGTCTTGAGGGCACCAAATGGGCAGAGAATGAAATAAGGGGTACAGTGGGCTGTTGTAGGATTTTTCGGGCTATATGGCCATGTTCTAGCGGCATGATCTCCTGCCATTTCTCCTGCATCTATGGCAAGCATCCTCAGAGGTAGTGAGGTCACTACCTCTGAGGATGCTTGCCATAGATGCAGGGGAAACATCAGGAGAGAATGCCTCTAGAACATGGCCATATAGCCCAAAAAAACCTACAACAACCCAGTGATTCCGGCCATGAAAGCATACAGTCTTATCAAACCCTCCAATGCCTATTCAGAGATTGGAATAATTATACTCCATGCAATGTTTGGACATTTTCATTTTGACTTCATCTCCCAGAATGTAGTAGAGTTTTTTGAGGACTATCATTCATTTTCCCCCACACTCTAAGTCAGTGGTTCCCAACTCTTTTTTGACCAGGGACCACTTGAACAGGGACCACTTTGGCCAGGGACTATTCTCCAACATTAGTACCAAAAGTGTTATAAAACAGTTTTTGGTCAACTTTAGATTTGGTTTGGTTATTTGGGGTGCTGATTCAGAACATTGCATTGGATAGACCACATCAGCTCTAATTTCTGATGCAGAATATATGCTATCCAGTAGTCGCCATCTGCTTGCCCACAGAAAACAATATTTAATAATCTAGAGCTGATGTAGTAATCTTTCATAAGTAGTAAGCCTCTCCCCTCACAACATCCCCATTGCCTCAGCACTATAAGAGGGTTTCATGAGACCAGTTGCTCTTGTTGATGCATAGTTTTGAGGAAGCGGTGTAGTAATGGTGGGGTCATGGATCATTTTTTCGTTCTTGCAGACCATTGGAGGTCCATGGACCACAGGTTGGGAAGCACTGCTCTAAGTGGATGAGTTACTTTTATTGGTGTCTCCATCTGCATGTCATTTTATGTCGTTCTTTGAAACTGATTTGGTTATCAGGAAAGGTGTGGGTTTCTGCTTCTCATAAAAATGCTCCTCACCTTTATTTTGCCTTTTGGTTTAGGTCATACTTGCTTGCTAGAATCACAAGCAAAGCAGGACTGTTTCAAATCATGCCAGGAAAAAGAGGCTGAACCCCATAATGGCACAAATGTGCAAATGCTTCCAATAAGCACATGATCATGATGTGGTTTTAAGAGAAGAGCGTTGTGTTCTGTTTCCTTTCCATTGTGGGAAACCAGTTAAGAAGAAACCACTATGTGTTTTAAATAGCACAGATCAATCAGCATTTGTTAGAATGCTGACAAGAAAACCTAGCCATTTTATAAAGTTTTGTAGCTCTGTGGCTGGCTTCCCTAGGGGAATGTACATCATGATCCTTGTGTGCATTTGAACAAAAAGTTAATTGTACAGATTGTAGAGATCCATCCTTTGACCATGCTTTTCTCATGGAGGTGTCCCATTAACCCACAGCTAGATTTTCAAGTTATGTGCAGCAATTTCATAATTCAGTGCAATATATATTATCTTCAGAAGTGTAATGTATTGTGATGCTAGCTCATATGAAATGTTGTTATGCTGACTATTTTCTCCTGAACCTGTACATCACAAAAGGCAAGAAAAATGAACAGATCAATATCAACATGTTTCTCTGGGGCAAACCCTTTTCCCCTCCTAACACTGAAAAAGCAGAATATTTCAGTGAGCGACCAAGTGGCTTTCCGACTATTAAAGAGAGCAAGCAGCTGTAGTCTATTAAAAATGTATTCATATAGCAGAAGAGCAGCAAATCTATATTAAGTTCTGACACACAGGATTATAAACCTATGTTTTTGACAATCAAATCTCATAGTTCAGGCATAAGTGAGAAAATACAGGTTAAAGGCTCTGTCATCTCTCGCTTTTTGGTTGATTGGTTAGGGAGACAAGTGCTCTTAACAGAATTACTAAAGAGCATAATAAAAAATAGATGGATATGGAAATCATGGCTGCAATGGGAGGTAATACCAGTTGTAATCTTGTTGATCCCCATTCCTTTTGATGTGGTTAAAATGGCTGTTCCAAGATTCCTTGCTTGAATGGCATCAAGGGAAATGATTCTGTTGCTGAACAATGTGCTTGGTTTTTGATGGAAATGGGAATCCTGTGCCCCTCCGGATTCTTCTGAACTGTGAATCCCAGATACCTTCACAATTGGCCATGCTGAGTTGGGGCTGCTGGGATTTCCAATCCAAATAACACAAAACAACAGCCATCAAAAAAACAAGCACACCACAAATGCTAGAGGAGTAGATCTGGGGGGGGGGGGGATATAACATAACTCAATGTGGAAAGCACACCCACATGATAACTGTAACAAATTGAATGTATACAACAACACAAATGTCTATCTAGCTACAAGTGAAAGAAGTACTGGGTAAACAGAATAAGGGTATTAACATAACATAGATGAAATAGCCACAAACAACTTGCAAAATGTGCAGTGAGCAGAATTGTAACAAATATGAATGTAAACAAAAGGTAACAGTACAAAATAGGAAGGAAATTTGGTCAAAAAGTTGCTTAAACCTTGGCACTGAGCATACAGTAATTGTAATTAATATTCCATTTCAACTATTTTTACCAATAAGCATTGGGAGGGTTACCTGGAGCATTTATTGTCTTTTGAACCACATTATCTTCTATTTACATTATGTTTTATTGCAACTCCATCCATTGCTCATTTTGCATCTAGCTTATGCTTATGGAATAGTTCTTTCACTTGCAGTGTGATTTGTGCTGTATGCTTTACATTTGTCACATGAATGTGCTTTCCATATTGATTTCTAATCATTTGCATGAAGACATTTGAAGTTGTAGGCTTGAGTCCACAAAAACTAGAACTTGAACTCCCAGAAGGTTCTGCTATCATGGACAATAACCAGGGATTCTGGCAGTTATAAATATCTGGAACACCAAAGGTTGAAAACCAGTAGTTTGTAAGAAACATATAATACCTTTGGAAATAATACCCTTTAAAAGTGACAGAACCCAGTAATTTTATCCTCCCTCCCCCGGCTCCAGTAATCACACCTTTTTGATACTAGTCTCCCCCCTCCTCATCATTAACTGGCCAAGACAATGCATGGTCCCAAGGAGGGCTGCAAAGAATTGGCAAGGAGCAATCCCTCAAGAGAAAGTCTGTCAGCTCTAAAAATACAGTGCTAGATGACTGGAGTTGGATTTTAATATTATAGCTAGCAAAGACTTGTCTTTTTTCCGTAAAAAAAGCCCAAGACCTAATTTTATCTGGGAAATGTAGTTAGTGTGATAAGATTGGAAGCTTATTGCTAATTAACAATGAGACATCACTGTTTGGCTTAGTGGGATAATTCATTAACTGTATTAATTTGTTATTTGTTATTTTTTTAAGTTTCCAAAGTTATTCTTTTAGAATCAGCTATAGCTTTATGAAGGTAGTTCACTCTTTTGCCTAATAGCCTGCCTGCAGAGCTGTGATCTTCTTTCTCAGAGGTAGCTTTTCATTTTAGCATCTTTGATCTCATGGTAAAAAAATGGTCACTGAGACCAAGTGCATTTTAGGCAATGTAATGAGTATGGTTTGTTCTTTATCATTGTTAATATTTTGAATTAAACTTCTTAAATTCTTTTGTTGAGCTCACAAGAGTTCTCTACTTTGCTGCATACTGATCAGAATTTTTCCATGAAATCAGAAATGTTCTATCTCTAAATTCCTGAAGAACAAACATCACTTTAAATTGCTAGTATAACACATCTCCCAGATCCGAATACCCACACCAACCAGCCAGTAAAAGAAAATAGCCTGTCAGTGAAACCATAGAAACAGTGAAGGAAATAAACAACCACAATGGGGCACATTTATTTATCCTTGACATTGTTTTGCTATCAGCACACTTTTTCCAGAGCCCTGTGGCTCTCAGTGCCTAGGCATGGCAGCTGATCTGTAATCTAGAGGGAAGAAAAAAGAAGAATTCTTAAGGAACACTATGGGTCTCTTTTAACATGAGCACATTTCCA